CCACACAGTCAAATGCCTTTGCATAATCAATGAAACACAGATAGACATTCTTCTGGTATTCCCTGCTTTCAGACAAGATCCATCTAACATCAGCAACTACTCGCTTTGCATCAGAGAGCTTGACAATGACTAAGGATGACAGAAGAAGAATCAATGCCATTGACTTTTGGTGCTGGAGAAGAGTCTTGAAAATAGGTCTGTCTTAAAGAGGGTGAAACCAAGTTTCTTCTTGGAGGCTAGGATTTTGAAGCTCCATCGCATATACTTTGGGCATATGGCCAAGAGGGATGAGTCCTTGGAGAAGGACATCATGCTTGGAAGGGTGGAGGGACAGTGCAGGAGAGGAAGACCACAAACAGAATGGATTGATATAATAACTGGGGTAATGAGCGTAAGTGTGTCATAGTCAGTAAAACTGGCTCATGATAGAATAGGCTTCTGAGCTGTTGTACATAGGGTTACTATGTATTGCAGTCAGTTTGATGGCACATAACAACAATGACAATGACAACAATGACAACATGACCAAAACATTAAATGATCCAAGAAGCATCAATGAAGGACAAAGGAGTATACAGAGTCATTGGGGCAAAAAGAATTGGTTGGCACAGAAGAATTTCATGAAACATTATCGTCAAGAGGAAATAGTGAAAAAGGAGGAAGGACAAGCTGCTCTGAAGGAACTGGTAAGAAACAAGGCCCCAGGAATTGATGGAATACCAACAAACATATTTCAACAAACAAATGCTATCCTGGATGAGTTTACCATGCTGTGCCAAGAAATTTGGAGGACAACTATATAGCCAACTGACTGAAAGAGATTCATCTTTATTTCCATTCCAAAAAAAGTGCTCAGTGTGGAAATTAACGAACAATATCACTAATATCACACACAGCCAATTCCTATTGAAGATTATGTAAACAAGCTAGATTTAGAAGAAGCCATGCAACTAAGGGACATGACTGAATCTTGGCTGAAAGATAATACCAGAAGAATGTCTATGTTTCCTTGACTATGCAAAGGTATTTGACTGTGTGGACCACAACAAATTGTGACTAACATTAAGAGGAATGAGAATCCCAGGCAACTCGATTGTATTCGTGCAGAACATATACTTGGAACAGGAAGCAATTGTCAGAACAGAGTAAAGACATATGCCTGGTTCAAAAGCAAGAAGAGTGCATCCTATTCCCGTACCTCTTCAGTATATGTGCCGTAGATCATTAAGGAGGCTGAACTTTATGAGAAAGAATGTAGCGTTGAGATTGGGGGAAGATGCATCAACAGCTTGTGTTTTGTAGATGACACAATCTTGGTTGCCTAAACTGAAGAGGACCTAAAGCATCTGCTGTAGAAGGATCAACAACTTGTGTTATGTAGATGACACAACCTTGGTTGCCTAAACTGAAGAGGACCTGAAGCACTTCCTGCAGGAGGAAGACTGCGTTCTGCAATACAGATTTAAGGTCAACATCAAGAAAACCAATATTTTCACCACCGGGCCAATTGGCAGAACCATGCTAGAGAAGAGACTGAGATTGTTAACAATTTCATCTTGCTCTGTTAAACAATCTTGGCTCCAGCAAGCAGGAAATAAAAAGATTAATTGCATTATGAAAATCTGCAGTCAGGGACCTGCTAGACTGCTGAAGAGCCACAATGTTAGTTTGGAGTAAGGTGTACCTGATTCAGGCCAGGCTCTTTGCAATTACTTGCTATGCATCAGAGAGCTGGACAATGACTAAGGATGTCAGAAGAAGGATCAATGCCATTGAGTTGAGGTGTTCAACATACCATAGACTGCCAAGAGAGCAAACAGGTTGTCTTGGAGAGAGTGAAATTTTGTTACTCCTTGGAGGCAAGGATTTTGAAGCTCCACGTAGCATACTTTGGAAATATTGCCAGGAGGAGCCAGTCTTTGGAGAGGGACATCATGCTGTGGAGGGACGTGCAAGAGAGGAAGACCCTCGATGAGATGGACTGACATAGTATTTGGGGTAACGGCTAGCTATGTCAGATACGGTGAGACTGGCTCAGATAGGGTAGAGTTCAAAGCTCTTATACCTAGCTACAGGCATGTAACAACTAGGGCAACGTAACAGCGAAGGTAACATGATAAAAAGGACCACACCTATCCGTTCCACCGAACCCCGCCCCGCCCTGACAATATGTAGTCAAAATCTCGGGTGGACAATTTTACACTGCCTATCAAGGAGCCCCTCGGCCACTACCCTTGGGGACCTTGTCGTCTTCAGCATACCAAAAAGCCGGAACGCTATCACCGCCTCCACTAGAGCTTCCCGCCCGAAGCGCATTTAAAGCAACAAGTGGGCCCGCCCTTCCGCTCTCGGAGTCAATGCATTTCCGCTGCTGAGTTCCCCGCCTCCAGTTCCAAGTGGGAAAATGGCGGAAAATCCCGAACCGGTAGTCTTGGCTACTGCAGCGGACGAGGAGTTAGTGGCCGAGGCGAACGACCAGGCCTCAGTCACCGACCCTCCCCGAGAGGACTTCCGCGTGCTCTGCACCTCGAAACGAGCTGTGTCGGAAATGCTAGCGCTGTGCGCCTGCTTCGTGCAGAAGCTCGGGGATTCGTTGCCAGAGGAGATTCGGGCACCGGCGCTGCGGGATGCACAGTGGGTAGGGCGCAGTCTCCACTTGTGTTTCCCCCTTCCAGGGTTATCGGGCAGTGAAAAACAAAACTACAAAAGCATCTCACGCCAGACATTGGCAGAGTTATTAACAGTGCTAACTCCGGCCGCCTTAGAAGTAACGGAAGAGATAGAGAGGGCGAAAATTGTTGCTAATTTATGCAGGGCATTATTAATTAGACGTGCACAGCTCTGTTGACATGAAAGGTAAGCTGTGTGTGCAGTTTTAAATAAAAAGTGCAAATAGGTGAAATTCATTTTAGTAGTATGCTTTACTTAATACAGTATATATTGTGTTAAATAGTCTCATGACTCGGATAAGTGCTAACCCCAGAAATAAAGGTAGAACTAATGATTGAAGTGGACTTGTCACTGAAAATGTAAATGTAGCAATAGAGACTGGTTTACCACTTCCTTTCTTGAATTTTGTTTTGTTGTGATAGTTGAGAATACATACAGTGGAGAAAAGCATTCATTTGTCTTTATGTACAATTCAGTGACATTGATTACATACTTCAAGTTGGTCAACCATTTTTGCCCTCCTTTTCTGAATTATTCCTCACCCAAGAACGTAAATTCACTGCCTTTTAAGGTCCGTATGTAATTTTTCTGATGTATTATTATCTCTATGACCCCATAGAGAGAGTTCTTAGAAGAGTGTACTCTTCAACTATTACTTTATATCTGTCTTCATAAATTTGAAGTTATTTTGTTAAAATATTTGGATTCTTAATTTGGAGTTATTTTTAATTATTCAGCTATTGTGAATTTGCTGCAGATTTTTGAATCAGCTGTGTAAGAGAATGTCAGCATAAATGGAGAAGCATGGCATGAAGCTTCAGAGAATTATATTACAGGTACATGATTTCATTTTTTTTCTTCTGCCATTACTAAATTACTTTTGTTGTTTTTATAAGTCTTGATTTTCAAAGGCACGTATTTAAAAAAAAAAACAAACCAAACCAACCAACTGCCAATCTTGAGGGCTGTTGAAGTAATTCATAATTTGAGGCAAATAGCACAACAGGTTTGTTGATTCTTCACATGTTGATAGTGTTTTCAACTGGTCTTTTAGTTGATAAATTAAAAAACAAAACAACAACATAAAGAAACAACCAATAACAAAACCTCTTGTCAGTAATTTATTCCAGAATCATGTCAGTAGTTTATTCAGAAATAGTCTGAGGTAAAGAAACAGCTCCAGAGAATTTTCCTTGATTAATACTTTATAAACCAAGATTATAAATGAAGGGGCTCACAGAGTGGAGAAGATTGCTGAAGATCCCATGGAGTGCCAAAAGAACAAACAGATATGTCTTAGATAAGGTACAGGCAGAGTCCTCCCTCCTTAGAGTTAAAGATATTGAAGCTTCTTCTCACATACTTTGCGCATGTTGCTGTTCTTGTTGTTGTTATGTGCCGTCGAATCGTTTGCGTCTCACAGCGACCCTATGTACAACAGCCCTAAACTCTGCTCTATCCTGTGCCAGTCGCACTGTCGCTGACACACCCATCATGATTACCCCAGTCACTGAATCAATCCACCTCATAGAGGGTCTTCCCCTCCTGCGCTGTCCCTCCACTCTACCGAGCATGATGTCCCTCTCGAAAGACCTGTCTCTCCTTACAACATGTCCAAAGTATGTCAGACAAAGCCCCAGAATCCTTGCCTCCAAGGAGCATCCTGATTTAACCCTCTCCAGGGTGAATCTGTTTTCTTGGCAGTCCATGGTACATTCAATACTCTTCTCCAGCACCATCCTCCCTAGTCATTGTTCAACTCTCTGATGCATAACAAGCGATTGCAGAAACCATGGCCTGTATCAGGCACACGTACCTTAGTCTCCAGAGAGACACCGCTGCTCTTGAGTACTTTAGAGTACTAAATGTTGCTAGAAAAGGTTATTCCTTGGAGACACCATGCTTGGGAAGGTGAAGGGATAGAGAGAAAGGAAGACCCTCAACTAGTTGGGTTGACACAGTGATTGTGGCAGTAGACTTGAACATATCAGGTTGTAAAGATGGCACTCAATAGGACAGTTCAGATCAGTTCTTCCTGGGTCACTGTGGGTTTACTGAACCACCTGGCACCTAACAACCACAACAAGGAGTGAATAGTGAAGTACCGTCCAAAGTATAAACTAAAAAGTTTTATGTAAAGGATGAGGTAAAGTATTTGTTCAGAATTCCTTAAGAATATTTTCCTGGTCCAAAGCAGATTTCATTGTATCTTAACTTACAGAGTTGACATAACTAAAAAAAAGAGGGGGGAAAAAATCAGTAGAAAGGAAACAGAGTGAAGAAAGAATACCAGTACAGCAAAGAGGAAGATTATTCTGATTTACAAAAGGCCAAACATGTTTTAACTTTCTCCATGGTCACGTTACATATAGATCGGACCAGAATTGCTAGCTGTCTTTGAGCTAGTTCCAAAGTCACTGGGCAGTTCTCTATAGTTATATGTTGCTGTTCAGACATTACCATGATTTCTTGAGTCTTCTAAATTATTTTTATACTACATAACTTGGACCAAGAGGCAGTCGTCAGAACAGAACGGGGCAACACTGCATGGTTCAAAATTGGGAAGGGTATACGTCAGTGATGTGTCCTGTCTCCATACCTTTTCAACCTGTATGCAGAGCATATTATCCTAGAGGCGGTGCTCTATGAGGAGAGGCATGGCGTTAGGATTGGTGGACTATCTATCAACAATCTGCGTTATGCAGATGACACAACCTTGCTCGCTGAAACTGTGGAGGACCTCATGCACTTACTGCAGTGGGTCAAGGACTGCAGCCTTCAATATGGACTGAGGCTCAATGTCAAGAAGACAAAAATTCTCACCACTGGACCAATCGGTAGCATCTGGATGGATGGCGAAGAGATTGAGATTGTTCACAGCTTCAGTTTGCTCAGCTCCACAGTTCAACACTCTTGGCACCAGTAGCCAGGAAATTAAAAAACGTATTGCGATGGGAAAGTCTGTGGTTAGGGACCTCTCCAAAGTACTGAAGAGCAACAGTGTCTCTCTGGAGACTAAGGTACACCTGATACAGGCCATGGTTTTTGCAATCACTTGTTATGCATCAGAGAGTTGGACAATGACTAGGGAGGATAGACAGAGAATTGACGCCTTTGAGCTGTGGTGCTGGAGAGGAGTATCGAATGTACCATGGACTGCCAAGAAAACAAACCGATTCATCGTAGAGAGGATTAAACCAGGCTGCTCCTTGGAGGCAAGGGTTCTAGGGCTTCGTCTGACATACTTTGGACATGTTGTAAGGAGAGACAGGTCTTTCAAGAGGGACATCATGCTGGGTAGAGTGGAGGGACAGCGCAGGAGGGGAAGACCCTCTCTGAGGTGGATTGATTCAGTGACTGGGGTACTCGGGATGGGTGTGTCAGAGGCAATGAGATTGGCACAGGATAGAGCAGGGTTTAGGGCTGTTGTACATAGGGTCACTATGAGTCACAAACAATGGCACATAACAACAACAACACATATATGAGAAGAAAAACCAAATCATATTTCCGAAATAATAGTAGAATGTCAATTAGTAGGGCAGGAGTAGAGTATCTGAACTCACTAGAGTATTTTCAAATCACACAGCCTTCCACTGTGTTTTTATCTGACTTGGGTTTGGTTTTGTTTTGTTTCCTAAATTAATTTTAGTGAAAGTTTACAAAGACTTAGGGTTTCCAGTCATTCATTGTTGCACTTTTTTCCCTACCCATCTGCTCCTCCCCAATTCACTCTTCTTGAAAAGAAAAAGAAAAACTCTTTCATTGTTGTGCCGTCCCTCCCGCCAAGTCCACTCCACTATGCATCCTTCACTCTGGACTTCTATAATGACAAGAATACCCTTCATATGTCTCTTTTAAACAGTTGTCTCCCTCATCTGTTTCAATGCAGTGTACATCATTACATCCGTCCTTTTCTGTCTTCCCTAACCCTGATGTCAGTCCTGTCTTACAACTGTGGCCCTATGCAATATTTGTCCTTTTATGATGGAGAGATTTCACTCAGCAGGGTCATCCATTTTGCATAATATTTCATGAGTTACTTGTTTTTCAATGCTGCATAGTATTCCATTGTGTGACTATATCAGAGCCTCTCTATCCATTTATTTGTTCATGGGCACTTGGGTTGTTTCCAGCTCTTTGATATTGTGAACAAAGCTGCAATAAATATGGGTTTGTATATATCTGCTTGGGTCGCAGTTATGGTTAGGGTAAATTCCCAGTAGTGGAATTGCTAGGTCAAATGGTATTTCTGTTTTCAACTTTTTGAGAAAGCACCATACAGCCTTCCATAGTAGTTGCACGATTTTACAATTCCACCAACAGTGAATAAGAGTTTCAGTTTCTCCACAACCTAGAGTTCCAGTTTCTCCACAACCTCTTCGGCATTTGATGTTTGCTGTTCTGTTACATTTTGCTATTCTTACTGGGGTGAGATGATATCTCATAGTTGTCTTGATTTTCATCTCTCTTAGAGCTAGGAATTTTGAACATTGTTTCATGTGCTTGTTGGCCATCCGAATGTTTTCTTTGATATCCTTTGCCCATTTTTCTATTGGATTATTTACCCTTGTTGTGGTGCTCAAGTATTTTATAAATTCTGGATATAAGTCCCTTATCTGACATGTTATTACCAAACACTTTTTCCCAGTCTGTGCCTTCCCTTTTTACCCTGTTGGAGAAGTTTTTGGATGTGCATAGGGATTTTATTCTTAGAAGGTCCCATTCATCTATTTTATCTTCTCCTGGTTGTAAATTTCTCAGGCTACTTGGAAGACTCTTTATGTTGTGTATTAGGACTACGAAAGTTCTTCCAAGCTTTTCTTGAATGAAGTTTGTAGTCCTTGGTTTTAGTCCTAGGTCCATGCTCCACTTTGAGTTGGTTTTTGTATATGGAGTGAAGTGTGGATCTTGCTTAATTCTTCTGCATATAGTTTCCCAATTTTGCCAACACCATTTGTTAAAAAGGCTGTCATTTCCCCACCTAACTGATTTAATTTCCTTGTCAAAAATCAGTTGACCATAAATAGGTGGTCTGATTTCCAGGTTCTCAATTCTATTCCATTGATCTATGTGTCTGTCATTGTACCAGTACCATGCTGTCTTAATTACCATGGCAGTGTAGCAGGATTTGAAATCAGGAAGTGAGATGCCTCTTATCTTTTTTTCTATTTTTAAGGAGTGCTTTGCTTATTCAGGGCTTCTTTCCATTCCAAATGAAGCTGGAGATTGCCTTTTCCATCTCGTTGAAGAATGGGATTGGTATTTGTATTGGGATTGCATTGAATGTCTAAATTGCCTTTGATAGTATTGCTATTTTCACAATATTGAGTCTTCCTATCCATGAGCAAGGGATATTCTTCCACTTCTCCAGATCTCTTTTTGTTTCTTGTAATAATGTTTTGTAATTTTCTTTGAATAGATCCTTTGTGCTTCTAGTTACATTTACTCCCAAATATTTTATTTTGTGATTAGCTGTTGTGAAGGGTATTGTTTTTCTTAGCTCCAACTCTGTATTCTCTTTGTAACTGTAGAGAAATCCAACTGATTTTTGTATGTTGATCTTGTATCCTGCTACATTTCTGAATTGGTCAACTATGTCCAATACTGTTCTTGCTGAGTCTTTAGGGTTTTCTAAGTATATTATCATGTCATCTGCATAGAGGGATAATTTTACCTCCTCTTTCCCAATTTGTATACCTCTTATGTCTTTCTCTTGTCTTATTACTATCGCTAAGACTTCCAATACAATATTGAATAAGAGAGATTGTAATGGGTATCCTTACCTAGTTCCTGTTCTTAAAGGGAATGCCTTTAACCTCTCTCCATTGAGAACAATGTTGGCTCTTGGGTTTTCATAAATACTTTTTACTATATTGAAGAAATTCCCCTCTAGTCCTATTTTGTTGACTGTTTGAATCAGGAAAGGGTGTTGGTTTTTGTCAAAAGCCTTTTCTGCATCTCATTTGGGTTATTTACTTTTATCTTGTTGTGGTGCTGACTTAATTTATGAAACCATTTTGAAATTTCCTTTCTTTGTGGTCCCAGACTACTTTTTATAGCATAGTTCATCAATTTATAGAATGGGAAATGTGTTTTTAAGTAGTTGGTACCTGGGATGTGTGATGATTTGGTTTTTTTCCCTCATCACTATGAGATAGTTGAGAGAACTACACTTTCACAGTCTTTTATAGGCACTCTCTAAGTGCTAGGCCCTATGTCTAATGCTAGGAAGTTACCTTTTAGGAGCTCACTGTTTATGGAAGAAATGGATAAGGAGTCACCTTTGTTATTGAAAAGTGAGAGAAAAACCTAAGTTTGTTGATTAATTGCATTTAATAAGTATGTGAGAATGTGTTTGAAGGATACAGCATATGCATAGGTACAGACAAGTATTTGAGAAATGTCAGAGTAAATTGGGAGTACCAGTGGTAGAAGTGGCTAGGAAGATAATTTGGGACCAAATCATGAAGAGCCTTGTAGGATTTGCTGAGAAATTTGTATTTAATTCTGTAGACAGTGGGGACCAGTGAATATTTTTAAAGTGGAGTTTCATAAAAAGATTTGTGTTTTAGAAAACTGTCAGGGGGTAGCAATTGGATTGGAGAAGAATTTGAATGCAAACAGACACTGAGGAGGTCACTACAGTGGTAGATCATCTAATGATGAAGACTTAGCTTGCACTGGAAGAGCAAAGAAGACATTCAAGAGATAATCAGTTAAGCATTAGTAAGTTCTGATACATGCAAGCAGTAATAAGCTCTGATACTTTTATGTACCAAAAGGGTCAAAGTTCTTTATCTTTTTTGTTCACTAAGGTTTTTAAATACTAGCAATATAACTTTAGAACATGAATGTATAAATGAGTGAAACAAATCACTAATGAAACTAAGTTTGAGTTACAGGTAGTTACTGTGAAGGAACTTAAAACCAGGAGGCATGCCCAGATTCATTTAAATTTAAAAATGTAAGCTCCATGAAAGCAGGAACTGTATTTTATATTATCTTTTTAGCTCTTTGCTCACCAAATACTAGCTCACACTTCCTCATTGCCCTTGGGATTGTCTCATTGCTGACCTTCTAGATGGTTCCCAGGCTGTAAATTGCACAAGGAGAAATAGCTCATCTTTCTCCCACAGAACGCCTGCCAGATGGGTGACCTCTGGTTTAGCAGCATGTCTCTCTGTGGGCTACCCCACTACAACTCTCTCTTCCAATAGTAAGAACCCACTAAATGCTTGTGAGGGGTATCACCAGAGAGAGCATTGCTGATGTCAGATCTTGGCAGAAAGCAAAGAGAAGAATGTGTTTTGTGTTCTGTTTGTGTTTTATTGACTATGCAAAGGCATTATATTGTGCTTTACATTGAGAAGAATGAGAATCCCAGAACATTTAATCGTGCTTTTGTGAAACTTATACCTAGACCAAGAATCTGTTTTCTCACAGAGCAGGGGAACACTGCATGGTTAAAAATAAACAATGGTGTATCTCAGGGCTATATCGTTTCTCCATACCTATTCTGTCTATATGCTGAACAGATACGTCAAGAAGCTGAACTTTATGAAGAAGAATGTGGCTTCAGAATAGGAGGAAGACTCATCAACAGCCTGCCTAATGCAGATTACACAACCTTGCTTCCAGAAAGTGAAAACTACTTGAAATACTTGCTGCAGAAGGTCAAAGGTTAGAGCCTTCAATATGAATTACAGCTCAACACCAAGAAAACAAAATTCTTACTGTTAGACTACAGAGCAACATCATGACAGATGGAGAAAAGATTGAAATTGTCAACAGTTTCATCTTGCTTGGATCTATAATCAGCACCCTTGGCACCAGCACTAAAGAAATCAAGACATTGCATTGAGAAGGTCCGCTGTCAGGGACTTCTCCAGGGTACTGAGGACGAACAGTGATGTCAGTTTTGAAGACTAAGGTGTATTCATTTCAAGCCATGATATGGGAGCTCTGGAGAATGAGTCAAGCTCTGGTGGCTGAATGATAAAGAGTGTCTCTGCCAACCTAGAGGCACACAGTTTGAATCCATCAGTGGCTCTGAGGGAAACAGATGGACATCCTCCTCCCGGGTGATTTACTGTCTCTGAAAACCTGCTGGAGGGTCAGCTATGTGTCCATTCCTGATTTGTGGCACACGTAACTTATGTGTGTATACATATATAAATGCTTCTGACATTTCCCTGGTAAAGTTTATTCTCATACAACAGTTGGATCCATTTTTAGTATAGAAATTGATATAACAGAAGAGATAGGCTACAGACCAATTAAGCCAAGGACCTAGCTGTTTAATATTTATAACTCTTTTAGCTCTTGAGTCAGAACTGACTCAGAGTTGACCCTCCATTGATTTTGAGACTGTCTGTTTCAAGGAAAGCTTGGTGGTTCAAGATCAGGCACCCTCGATGGAAGGCCTAGTATCCTGCTTCTGAAGAATCAGCCACTAAAATCTCTCTGAAACACGCTTCTACCGTGATACATATGGAGTCACCATGAATTAATGATAACTAGACTACAAAAGCAACAACAGACAAGTATTTATTACTCTTTAAAAGGATTTTTCTAAATTAGATTGATAGGTTGCTTGCATTATTTTATTTATTATTTATTTGATAGAAATCAAACTAGAAGGGTCCTGTTTCCAACCTGCTAAATCAATGTTTCTGTACAGAACAGGCTTCTGACTAGTAGTTCTGCTGAAGTTTGAGAATCTTTATTTTAAAACATCTGTTATAATAGTGAAACTGCTGTCACCTTGTCTTTCTATTTTCCTGTCATCGGTCTTAACTGAGTTCTATGTCGGATATAACCACTCATTGTTAATGATGTAGCTTTCCCCCCCCTTTTTTTTTCATCCTATAATTAACTCAAAATTTGTCACTATTTCTTTGATCAAGTGTACTTTGCAGTCTAATTCTTATATATTTTGTCTTCCTTTTTTTCCCCTTGCACTTGATCTTGCAGCCATTTAGAACTTCTCCTTATTTTCCAAAGGCTCAATGGTCTGCCATAAACTGTTTTTCTCTATCTGGAATCTCTTTTCCTGTCACTTTCCTCCCATTCTTTATCCAGGGGATTTACACATTTAATAGCCCAGCTGAAATGTCACCTCCTCTGTAAAGTCCTAAATTCCACAGACAGAGTGAATGTTCCATTGCCCTTGTCCAGATAACAGTTTTTTCCTTGTAGTACCATTGCATTTATCAAATTGACTTGCAATTAATAATTGAATTTCATTGAATGAAAAGCAGCACATTAACACATTACTTTTGAGCTGTAGTGTACTCATGGCTGACCCTCCAGTGAGTTGTGGGAGGTTGTAAATTGCCCATCTGCCCCCCATGGAGCCATTGGTGGATTTGCATTGTCTTTGGGTTAGCACCTCAGCTCTTTACAGACTGTGCCACCAGAGCCATGTGTCCTATTAGTATTTTCTGTTTTCTAAACGTAATTTTATTTACATTGCATTTACATAGAGAATGCAAGCAGTGCATTTTAAAAAATTTTAGACATTTTTTTTTCCCTGAAATAGAGTCTGACATCAAAGAACTTGAAGATCATTTTGATGAAGTCATAGTAGACACAGCCACAAAACGTAAGCAGTATCCCAGAAAGATCCTTGAATGTGTCATCAAAACCCTAAAAGCCAAGCAAGAAATTCTGGTAAGATGATTTCTTTTTAAAACTAAAATCTAGGAATGAAAAACTAATTTATCATGTAAACTTTGACCCAAACAACAAAATACAAAAAAGAAAAAGATTCATGTGGAGATAAATGATTTTTTTTTTCATTTTCTATGACTTAATAACTACTCTTTGTTGTAAAACTTTGTTCTGTTCTGTGTACACTAAGATGGGTTGTGGGGGGAGATTTTGGCACAACTTAGTTTTTATTTTATACTTTAACATTTTAAAATTGGTTTGCATAGTCATTCATATATATATTATGTCAGTCACATATGTTGTATTTTATTGTACACTTAGTTTAAACACAGCTGATATTAAAATAGAACATAAATGGCTTCATAAATTCTGAGATCAGAAAAGGAAAAATTGATTTTTCAGTAATTTTCTATTTGTCATTTTTGTTTGGCATATAATTTAGGTATGTTTTATATTTAGGAGGAGCCTCCATTTAAATTCTTGGTGAAGATTGTTTAAGTACCTATTCATAACACTGTAAATTGCTTTATAAATTGTGTGTAGTTTATTTTGCTCCAGAAAGCATACCTATCTTGGTTATAAGACCAGGAGGCTTCTTCAGCTTGAACTTTTCAATAAGCAGAGCAACAGGCTTATTTCTTATTTATAATCTATATAGGTAACTAAGAACATCTACACTTGCTGTTGCTGTTGTTAAGTGCCGTCGAGTTGTAGGTGATACATAGCGACCCTATGAACGAAAGACCTGGACACTTCCATCCTTTCTCCAGGTTCATAGGGTTTTCAGGGGGAAGCTATTACGGAAGTGGATGCCAGCCACTCCTGCTTCCAAGCTTGTTTTAATTGGGGAGCTCCACCAACCACTGTCCACCATGATTCTTGCATTTGACACATCAGTGTCACAGTGTTCAGTTTTCAAGCAACCACAAGTTACCTTGGTACAGCAAGTGGACATACCAGGGTTATACCACCTAGAAGAATGTTTCACCAAAAACAATTAAAGGCAGACCTTCTTAGTGTTAGCCATATTTTGTTGTGATTCACACAGTCAAAGGCCTTTGCTTAGTCATTAAAACGGAAGTAGATAACCTTCTGGTACCCTCTGCTTTTAGCCATGATTCATCTGATGACAGCAAATCCATGAAAGTAGCCCTTCCCCAGTAGGATCACTGAGATATCATAACTAAACCTCAGCCGTGGGAAAGCTGACCTGGAGGCCTAGAGGAGCCTACAAATAAAAAAAAGTTACCAGGAAAAATAATAAGCGAGCAAATGAAAAATTTTTTAATAAACATCAAATAACACGGACTAAAGGAATGAAGCCTCACCCCCATGAGGAGGAAAGGAAGAAGAGGGGGAGGCATCTTACTGAGAGAAGGACTGTTTTATCCCCATCTACTTGAAGAGAAATCATTCAAGAAACTGGTCTCTGAAGAAGACTGTGGCATCAGGACTAGAGAAAGACACATCAACAGCCTCCCTTATGTAGATGGTACAAGTTGCTTACTGAAGATGAGGAGGACTTGAAACACTTTGAGGAAGAAAAAAGACTGTAGCCCTCAATCTGGATTGCATCTCAACATCTCGAAGATGAAAACCCTCTCCACGGACTGAAAAGCAACATTATGATAAATGGAGAAAAGATTGAACATGTCAATGATTTGATCTTATTTGGATTTGCAGTCAACACCCTTGGCACCAGCAGCCAAGAAATCAAACATGTATGGTTTGAACAAGTTTACTGTCAGGGGGCTGACCAAATTAGTGATGAGCAGTGATATCAGTGTACCTGATTCAGACCATGGTCTTTCAGTTACTTGCTATGCATATAGGAGTTGGGCGTTGAATAAGAATGACAGAAAAAGAATTGATGCCTTTGAGTTGTGGTGTGGGAAAAGAGTACTGAATATCCCACTGCCTAAAGACTGCCTAAAGAACAGGTATGCCTTAGAAAAGTGCAGCCACAGTGCTGCTTGGAGGTAAGGTTGGCAAAGCTTTACTTCATTTACTTTTGTTACTAGACGATTCCTTGAAAGGTGGAGGGTCAGCAAAAGAGAAGATGATCCTTGACAAGATGGACTGACACAGTGACTGCAGCATTGGGGTCAGGTGTATCAGATAATGAGGATGGAAGAGGATAGGCAGGATTTATATCTCTTGTTTATATGGTTGCTATGTGGCATACTTGACTTAAAGATACCCAACAACAACAAGGACTGGGGACAAACATCTAGGAGATCCCTTTAACCAACCAGGTGAGACGCTCCAGAGAATTACCCAAGAGCAGAAAGGGGGAAAAAACCAAAAAAACCCCAAACAGCCAACACACTTCTCATCCTAAAAGGGAGGCTGCAGAGGGCCTACATCATTCTCAGCCAAGAAGGACTGGGAAAGGACAAAGATATCTTCTTCAGTTTGCCTCTTCTGTATTTACACTGTTGGCAAGTGGGTGGGACTGATGTATGCATAGTGGGTGAGAAACTGGATAAAAAGTTTCTCAGAAAGAAAGGGCCACACTCATGTTCTCTGTGATCAGCAGGGGATACTGTCTGAGTGAGGGAGGAAGACTCTCATCAGACTTAAAACCAGACATATGCAGCAGTACCTATATACTTGCACATTAATATCACCTGTACCCCACTGCCAACCACACAGGATATTAAATTTGCTCGTCTAAACAGTCATTTATCACCACCTTGAAACTTGCAAACTCTGTCAACTCTGGATTGCAACATACAGAATTTACAACTCTTAACACAATACCATAAAGTATAAGAAAGAGGCACACAGCAATGTAACAAACCAAACAGAAGGTGCCTCATCCATACCAAGAGGAACCTCAATGTCAAGGAAGCAGCAGTTTGGTTCAAACAATATGAAAAAAAGTCTGAACAAGTGTTCTAAAATACAGACCCAGTGAATGAATACCTCAGAGACAGGAGGGCTGAAAAAATATACTGTGTGGGTTTCCGAGATATTCAGGTAATTAGAACTGGTGAATGAAGAAATTGAAACCACAAATAGAGTGACAAGTAAAACACTCATTACAAGATAAGGAGCATAAAACCAGTAGAATTATAGAAAGGCATGAAAATGCGGTACAGAATAACAAGACTGGTATGGCACAAATTTTCAGCATGTGAGAGGGACAATACAACAGGATAGAAAAGATGGAGTAGAAAGTTAATAAAACAAAGGTAAAAACCCTCATTAAGAACCTGTTAGAAGAATAAGCTGAGGTAAGATGGAAGAAAAATGAAGAAAACATAAAGATCATGTCTAGTGACATCAAATGAAATAACGTGTAATTGGAATTCCTAGAAAACTTTCCATATACCATCAGAAAATACACACAATTCAAGAAACTCAGCAAACCCTAAACAGATTAACTCTTAAGGAAAAACATGAAGGCATGTCATGGTTAAATTCTTCAAGGACAAGGATAGAATACTAAAAGCAGCTCAAGAAAAACAAAGTGCCACCACAAAGAAGAACCAGTTAGACTAAGCTCCAACTTCTCAGCAGAAAGCATGCGAGCAAGGAAACAATGGATTGACGTACTAAAAGCTCAAAGAAAATAACTGCCAACTGAGAATCTGATGTCCAGTGAAAATTTTCATCAAAAATGAAGGAAAAATCAGGTCATTGACAGAAAAACAAGAATTTAAGGAATTTGTGAACATAAGACCAACTCTACAGGAATTATTAAAGGAAGTCTTTCACACAAAGATGGCAAAGAAAAGTGGATAGAGGAAAGTAACTAGCAACAACATAAAAAGGAACAGCAAAATAACTTTGATAAAAACCTTATCTTTCAGTAGCCACACTAAATGTGAATGATTCAAATGCACTGATTAAGAGAAAAAGGCAAAATGGATAAAAAAACAAAGTCCATTATTGTTGCCTACAAGACACATCTAAAAAATAAGAGAAAAGATAGACTAAAAATCAAAGAGTGTTGCAAGCCAGACACAGAAAGAAAGCAGGGACACGGGTACATGAATTCAGAAAAAGAGGGAAGGCTAAGGCAGAGGTCCTTTCACAGCATGGCACTGTGAAAAGGCCCCTTTCTTCGTTTCCCTATGGTTTTAGTTTTGGCCAGTCGTCCTCAGAAAGGTTCAATCTCCGGAGACCATATTTTCCTTAAACTTAAGTGCTGCCAACATAACAATGTTGTTGTTGTTGTTGTTGTTATGTGCGTCGAGTTGCTTGCCTTAAACTCTGCTCTGTCCTATGCCATTCGCACTGTCTCTGATACACACATCCTGATTACCCCAGTCGCTGAATCAGTCCACCTCATAGAGGGCCGTCCCCTCCTGTGCTGTCCCTCCACCCTCTCAAACATAGATGTCCCTCTCCAAGGACTACAACATGTCCAAAGTATGTTAGACGAAGCCTCAGAATCCTTGCCTCCAAGGAGCCGCCTGGTTTAACCCTCTCCAAGAAGAATCTGTTTCCTAGCAGTCCATGGTACCCTCGTACTCTTCTCCAACACCACAGCTCAAAGGCATCAATTCTGCTTCTATCCTCCCTAGTCAGTGTCCAACTCTGTGATGCATAATAAGTGATTGCAAAGACCATGGCTAAGCTTAATCTTTATACTAAGACCAAAGCTCCCTCGGGTGGGAGGCTGGGTGGAAATATCTGTTTGCAGAGGGCATCCACTATCTCCTTTGGGGGGTTGGGGAGAATTATCTGTTTGCAGAAGCTGCTCAGTCGTTGTCTGGACTCTGATCTCAGCTGTGGCCTGGCTGTCACTATGCTGGGGAATCTACAAAAGAGTAAGGGGGGAAATCCCAAGCAAGAATCATTTATAAGAAAGCAGAAGTGGCAATTCTAATCTCTGATAAAGTAAACTTCAGGGTCAAAACAAGTCTAACCAGAGCTCATTCAGAATGTCCTCAAGGACACTATAATAATAATGGTCAAAGGCACAATAGAACAAGACAACATAACCTTAACTAATATCTCTACACCAAATGATAGACCTATAAAGTACC